TATTTAATTGTTATCAATCAATCATGTCACATGCCGCTAATATTTAACGAGGAGCTAATGTGATTGTTAAAAATGAGTATAATTACATATTTAATCCTTAATATTTATAAATTTGATCAATTTAGTCATAATTTTGGTTTAATTTAATAAACTTAATATTCAATTAGATAGTGATACGTGTCACAACATGCTTGGAGAAAATTAACCATAAGATTGGATAGAAAATAAATTGAAGTCTAATTGATAACACCATTAAAATTCTCCATTTAACTTCACTTATGTGCATTTTAAAAATAAAAATACTGGGTTTGGTCCTCACAAAAAGAATTCATTTTTCTTATATAATTTTATTTTATTTATTTGGATGATAAAATATAAGTGAAGGTGTTGACATGTGGATCAGAAATCAACATTTCATAGGAAAAAGATGATGCTACTGAGGTGGTGCCTATATATGGTCCTTAGCTGGGGTACCTGGTTCAGAGATGGGGGAAAATATATCTTGTTTCATGGCTCACATGGCTCAATCTGCAGCCACCCAATACATATTATCTTTATAACTGGAGATAAAAATTATTATGTTTAATTTAAAATTTATTAAATAAAATTTATATATTATTTATAAAATGTAGTAATATTATTAATATATTATATTTATTAACTATAAAAGTAAACATAAGATACATTTTAAGACCCGTAATTAGTATTGAATCTGTTTGCAGGTTAACATGTGAATTAACAATTTTAAATACATTATTTATACATATAACAATAATAGTTTATTTTGCTAATAAGTTGGAACCAATTAGATAAAATTATGGGTATCATACGTACCACCTCATTTAATGATTTTGTTATAATAACAAAAATAAGTGAATAAGAAGTGAAATAAACAATTTTAACTTTTTTAGAAAAATAGTTTATCTTTGAAATTAGATGAGTATTCAATCCATCGAATTGATGATTCCTATTTTATGATTTAAACTTTATTTGAATTTTTTAAGAAGAGTTACTCGATTTTTTATTAATTTGGAGTAAATACAAGGTAATATATATTTAAAGATAAGTCTCAACCTTTGATATTGAATACTCATACTCCTAACATTTATGATGCTTGAACCTAAAATCTTAAAAAATAATTATAATTATTTTATCACCGAGATCATTTAATTTGTGCGATGTATTAAGAACTTAAACCGGGGTTAAGGTACAATACAATGATGGTAGGAGTAGGGATGGACATGGGTCGGGTTTCGGTCAACTAGACCCGACCCAAAAACTTTACATCCTTCACCCGACCCTAACCGATCCGAAAAATATATACTCTTCACACGACTCGAACCCAATCCGATTTTTGTGATAAATCCGAATCCGACCCGATCCGAAATAATATAAAATATTGTTTTTATTCAATAAAAATAATGATTTAATTGGAAAAAAATATATAGATGAGTATTATTGTAATTATTCCTAAATATATAAGGTAAAATTATATTTTGTTTCTTCGGGTCAGGTCGAGTATTTTTCACTCTAAACCCGAATCCAACCTAACCCGAATTACCTTTAAAAAAGCCCGACCTGACTAAATCCAAACTTGATTTTTTTTAAAAATGAGCCGATCAAATCGAATCGTATCGAAACCCATAAGATTCGTGTTCATATCCATCCCTAGGTGGGAGGCGCCCACCATTATAATTAACATCCATTCTTCTTGCATGTGAACTATGAAAGGATATATATATATATTAGATATAGAGGACAAAACACACGTCAAGTAGACAAGCTACAAGTCACGTTTATTGTCACAATCCCCAAGAGCTGGATTCCATTTCTTAAAGAAGAAAATCACACCACCTTTTCTTTGTTATCTTCTAATCTGCCAACTTCAAATTACGCGTTTTCTGTTGTATCGTTTTTTTAATCTTTTTTTTACGTTAAGAAGGGAATATGAAATCACTTTTAATTTTGTTGATGAAAATAAATTGATTGTCTTGATAGGTTGTTAATAATTTACTTTTTCTCAATTTAGGTGAAGAATTATAGTCATTTTTATGACGGTCGCTAATAGGTGCATGGTTTTATACGGTAGAAAAGGGAGAAAGGTAGAATGAGAATAAATTAGAGTTAATTATATCATATGTCTTTAAATTATAACTCTTATTTTAAATTGATTTTTAAACTTTTGAATGTTTCAATTTTATCTCTAAACTATGACTCTCATTTTAGTTATTAAACTTTTAAACATTATAATTTCATCACTAAGCTATGACCCTCTAACTAAATTGGTCCCAAAATTTTGAATATTTCAATTTCATCCCAAATACGTCTAAATATGTAATTTGTTTCAACCATAGTTTAACCTATATATTTTTTTATTTTTCAAACATATAATAACATAACTTGGCCTAGCAATTTTATAAACAAGGGATGTGATTAGTATATACATATAATTTGGGATGAAATTCGAATGTTCAAGAAGTTTGGGGACTAATTTAGAATGAAAGTCATAGTTTAATAATGAAATTGGAACATTTAAAAGTTTATAGACCAATTTAAAATAAAAGTCATACTTTGAGGACATATAATACAATTAACTTAAAAAAGATGAATAATGTCTATAGGAGGGTTAAGAGGAAAGAGGAGTGTCTCCCCACCTTCTTAATCGTGATTGAGATGTATTTATATTGATTCTAATTGATAGTATCACATATAGAGTCATTATAATTATTCGTAGGTCAGTAGGTTAAAGAGATATGATTTTCATTTCTCGGATTTTGTTCTGATTGATCATGTGGACTTGTCGAAGATCTTATTTATGCATTGTAGCGGGACCAGAGGCTATGACACTCTTGTGTGCAAAGGATGTAAATTCTTTAAAGGCTATGATAAGCGCAGAGTCTATTTGAAGATCTTGACTGATGAACCGTCGATAGATTTTAGAATTTATTTGCAGAAATATAATAAATTTCAAAAATTGACATGTCATTAATATCATTTTAACTAAATAGTACTGATACAATGATATAAGGTGGATTGACGAAGAAGATAAGCGATTCATCTTGTTTAATAAAAAATGAAAAATCACATAGTAAAATGAGTAGTTGGAAAGAAGAAAGGTAGAAGATGGAGTTTAGTAAGAAAGAAAGGAAATGGACTGACTTTTATTATCAATGAAGTTTCAAATCTTTTTAAATGATTATGAAATCTTTATATCCTTTTATTATAGGTAAATATTTATTTTGATATTTGAACTTTATTTAAGGGTAAAACCTTAAATTTGTTTTGTCCGATGATTTAGGTACTTCATTTGGTACCAAAAGGTTTTTTTTTTGGGTCCAACTAGGTATTTAAACTTAATTTATTTATTCAAATTGACATTCTAATTTCATTTTTAGATCCAAATTAATACTTAATAAATAATTATTTAAATCAATTTGAACCATGAAATCAAATTTAAATCTAAAATCATGTCTGGGTATCTAATTGACCAAAACAAATGTAAATTATCAAATTGTAGCTTAAAGTTAAGTTAAAATATACATATATGTATTTATGTAAACAAAGGTCATGCAAATAACCGAAATCATGAAAGAAAGAGACGTAATATTAGATTGAGAAGGGTATTAAAATACGTGGCTACGGATGAACAAACTTGTCAAACAACCATCACAATTTCACAACAATCCAACCTGTTTACTGTATCTTCATCGATAACAGACGATTGCGTTTTATTTTATTCCATGGATGCTTCTTCCATTTGGCGTCAAGACAACGAGATGAAAGAGTAAACCCTACAGTAGAAGGATAATTATTTCGTACGATAAAGGTTAAAATTTCTTCACAGATAAGTTGTAAACTTGTTACACGTTATTGTTTTTTTTTAATATTGAAAGTACTATTTTTGTCGATGAATAAATGGATCCGTATCTACTAACGTTAAACATAAGTGCAGAAAAATAATGAGAGAATAACATGCTATGTTTATTAACACAGTTCGAGTTTAATTAACTTTATGTCTACATAACTACCCTCTAAGTTTAATTGATTTTATTAACCAAACGAGTTCAGTAGTAAAGGTATTTGTTATTATTCTTTGATGTTCCGGGTTCAAACATCGCATATGCAAGAGTATGAGCGTTCATTGTCAAAAGATTAAAATTCATTGAACATACACTATCTTATATTTACTCCATATTTAACAAAAAAAAATACACTATCTCATATAAATTTAGATGTCAAAATACAAACAATCAAAAAGATATGTGAAGTCAAGAGATATCCAATACCAGTCGAGATTTAGTGTAAAAGCTCACATTAACAAATATAATTAAAGGACACATCTAGGGTGATTTTATATTTCCAATTGTTCTAGGATGATTATATGGTAACAATTATTTTTCATGAATATGATAACAATTGTTTAAAATTATATTTTATATTACCATTGTAAACATTTTTTTCCTATTAACAGTGTATATATATATTCTACATACGTAATAGTTCAAATTCGAATATAGAAAAATAATATTTTTTTATTAATGAGATCACTTAATGAGTTCGTGATGTAATTCTTTAAAGGGTAAATTCTATATTTAGTCATCTAACTATTCGAGTGATTCTATTTTAGGCATCCAATTATATTTTTTTTAAAAATCAGCACTAACGTTACGTTTTGGTTTCATTTTTAGCAATATCATTTTTTTAGCGGTGAGTCTACTTAATGGATGCTTGACATAATTTTTTATTTCTTTTAAATAAGTTGGAGTAATTATAAGATAATATTTATTCATAATTTTTTAGTCTATGATAATGAACACACCCTGTAAACATAACCATTTGAATCTAAATTCTCCAAGAAAAATAACATTTACTTTTACCGTTGAAATCACTTTACATATTTGTAATGTATTTTTATTAATTGAAGGTATATATATTTTAAAACTTTATATCACCCTTGTATATAAAACTTTCCTTCCCGGAAGCTTACAAAAATCCAACTGCTACAACATATCATCCATCTTCACTCTCTTCCACTCAATCAGATCTCTAAACAGCCACCTCAGAATTCTTCTTTAAAAAACCAACTTCTGGTTCTACACTTATTCATCCACAGTTATTTCTTGTGCTGCAATGGCTTCCACCAAACTCTATGCTCTTTTCATAATCTCCACTCTTCTTCTCCACTCAACATTCACCACCGCCTGCAACTCATGCAAACCCAAGCCAACCGCATGCCCTCCACCGCCGGCGAAGCCAGCTTCCTGCCCCAAGGACACACTGAAGCTCGGCTCCTGTGCCGACTTGCTCGGCCTCGTTAACATAATCGTGGGAACCCCTCCTTCGAGCAAGTGCTGTGCTTTGCTTAAAGGGATGGCTGATTTGGAAGCTGCACTTTGCCTTTGCACCGCCATCAAAGCTAATGTACTTGGGATCAACCTTAATGTTCCTGTTACTCTTAGCTTGATCCTCAGTGCGTGTCAGAAGGAGGTTCCTGCAGGCTTCCAATGTGCATAGTTTGTCTGTTGTTTTTAGCTTTGAATTCTGCTGTTTTGTTGGTGTTTTTCATGTTGGATTTTTAGGGTTTTGTTTGACTTGAACACTTTGTGATTACATTTTTATCAGGAATTCAGGCATTCATGTTGTATTGTTTTGTTCAAGTTCAATAACTAGGCATGTCGGTTCAAGTACCTCTGCCTAATGTAATGTGTCATTATTGTTGTCAATGTTAAGTTGATTTGCTTAAATATTTTCAATTTGGGAGCATCATTCGTTTATATTCCCATATATCAATTTATATAAAAGTTATTAATATTAAATAAATATTATTATATAATTACTTCATATTATTTTAAAAATATATGATTTATGAATAAAGTTAGTGGCTGTTTGTTTGGCTCTGAATGACGCTGAATGCTGAACCGTTCAACATTCAACGTGTTGTGTCGCACCTCTAAATTCGTGCTGACTGATTCAGCAAAATAGTGTTGAATGATTCAACAGAAGTACATTATGATTCAGAGGCATTACCAAACAACATGTCACATTCAAAGCTAATTCATACAGAACATTTGAATCATTCAGCGCTTAATCATTATGAAGTAAACAAACAACCCCTTAATCTAACTCTTTTAAATAAGTAAATTGTATTAAGAAAAGCCTTAGATACATTTTTTGATTAAATTTGGTATCACAAACTAATTAAATAGCAGCCCATTTAAAAAATTTAATAATCAAAATTTAAAGAAAAATAATAATATATATATTATATATTTTTAAAATTATATAATTCATCAACACCGTTAGTGAGCAAGGTCCTAGAGAAAGCAACATGGTCCCTTAAAATTTTTGATTGAGTTTGGTATCACAAATAATTAATTAAATACCATTTTAATTAGATAAAAAAACATTTTTAAAGGTAAAAATATTTTTATAATTTTTTTTATATTTTTGTATTTTCAATTGATTCGAGTTGATAACATGGTCCCTTAAAATTTTTGATTGAGTTTGGTATCACAAATAAAATTAATTAAATACCATTTAATTAGATAAAAAAACATTTTTAAAGTAAAATATTTATAATTTTTTTTATATTTTTGTATTTTCAATTGATTCGAGTTGATGGGCTTGCCAAAATTTTAAACTATTTGGATCGATGTGGATCCACATCTAGTTGAGGGTGAATATACTCATTTTGAAATCTTAATTTATCTGTAAATTGTGTATTTTATTGATGATAATCGCCTGAAATTTTATTTGTGTTCATCTCATTGAATTTGTTTGCGTTATTAACATATATCTATGATCAATCCTATTTTTTTCCGGATCACCCCTTTGGATGAATCTCTATCTATTTTTGAATCTGTTCATAATTCTTACATGATGTTTTGTACAGGAACTTATATGGTCCCTCGTATTATTAAGCTCGAATTCATAATTTTTTTATTTTAAAGATAACAACATAATCAACCAGATACTAATTTAGGGCGCTATTGGATATTAATCTTTTTTTTCATATTAACTCATTTCGAAAAACTCGTTTTTTGATAAATAGACTTAAAATTATTATCTTAATATTTCTCTAAAAATGAATTTTATTAAAATAATAAACTTTTCAGAGATCCAACCACATCCTAAATAAAAATTGGTGGTGATTCCCCACATTATATATTTTCGTATTTTTAAAATAAACCCCAATTCATCAAGCCTTTTAATGACTTTCAATTTTTAAAGACGTTTCGACAACCCTGAGACAACAACGACACTAATGATTGAGCGATTACCACTGCAGTTGGGGAGAAAAACAAATTTTAAGTTCAATTTTCTTAAGCAAATGAAGTTTTAAAAAGGATCAATATAATAAAGTGTAAAAATTCTAAAATTAAATTGTGTTACTAAATCAATTTATTAAACTGATACATCATTCCACAAAAGTTTTTTTAACAAAAAAAACAATTTATTAACTTTTTTTAAATCAACGATCAATTTGTATATATTTTTAATTACGAGACTCATAAAAAAAATTACCCTAATCATGAGACTGTTTGCATATTTACCCATTATCTTAATAAGCACCGTTGTTGGCGTGAGAATTAAAGCAAATGGAGAACAAGAAAGTTAGGTCAGACGTTCTTTCTTCGTTTACTCCATGTGTCTAAAGTGAAAAAAATAAATAAAAACAAATAATTAAATTAATGAATAAATAAGAGAAAATGGAAATTTCGGCATCTAGGACTTGAGAGACGACCAAGAAGAAACCAAGGTTCAGGTCACACGGTACGCTCAAGGCTTATTTTAGCTCACCCCCTTCCCTTTTACCTCTTCAATCGCGAAATCGGTCTCCGATAACAGAAATTCCGACGTCAAGGCCCAACGCCTGTTCACACGCTTTGCAGTTTTTTACTTTGTATATCCCCCCGATCCCATGAATTAAACCCTAAAGCTCTTTGCTTTGATTTTATGTTCAATTTCGATTCCGTTAGAGAGAGATCGGTATCGTTTTCGTAAAAGAATAATTAAAAAAAAGGAAAAAAAAATAGATGATTCAGAGACGGAGTCCGCCCAAGCACAGGCACGATGGGACTTCGCCACTGCCTCTCGGGATGGATTGGAGTCCTCCCCCTCGTAAATGGGTTAGCTTTTCCTCCAATTGCATCTCTATTTCCTTTATTGTTTAAAGTTAGTTTTTGGAATCTGAATTAGCTCTCATTTTTTTTATGATTGTAGAGTTTAGTTATTGAATTAGTGCTTTCAGTGACTTTATGGGGGATCGAGGAAAATACAATAAAGAGGATCAGTTTTGCAAAGATGAGATTGCTACCTTGTTTAGTAATTTAGATAGTTACTTATAATTTAGAATTTTAGGTTACTTGCTTCATTTTTCATTGTTTTTAAGCATTTACAGTATTCCAATGATTTTTAACCAGCTTTTTGATACAATCATCTAGTAAAATTTAGAATTTAGGTTACTTTGCTTCCAACTTTTCATTGTGGTTTTTAAGCATTTACAGTATTCCAATTGATTTTTAAGCATTTTCAGTTTAAGCAGGATGGTCCTAGAACTCAATCACAAATTTAATGTAGAATTTTAGGTTATTTTGCTTCCCAAATTTCATTCTCAATATGAGATCACATGACATGACTCTTAAGAATTTGTAGTGTTCGTATTGATTTTTAAGCAATTCATATTGATTATTAAGCACTTTTAGCTGAATTTTACTAGTATTTTTCAGCGTGATGAGAACTCAATCAAGAATCTAGACATCATCTTAAAATAGGGATTAATTTGAAGCATTTTTATGCCAGTATATGTTTTTGTTTAGCATTAAAAGAAAAGGATTCCTTCTTTATGTTCTGATTCTGAACTTTGGCTTTGTAGAGAATTTTGATTGGATCTTGATTTTAGCACGAACTAATTGTAAATTTACCTGCAGAATGGGAAGGAAATGTTTGGCCACATGATCCTGGACAGGATGGAGTTACTCTGTACAATACCTTCTTGGGTTGTTCTTCCCAAATCAAGAGATTCGATCCTGTAGTGGTAATCACGTTTATCTATGCCATGATAAATGTTTCTAATCTGTTTTTAGTATCGAAGTTAGTGATGTGTTGAATTCTCTTTCATAAAACAAATTTTCGCCGCACCATTTATCCCTAACATTCAACATATCTAATGTATTCTTATATTACAATTCAGACTTTCAACATCTAAAGGAGGTTAAAGTCTTTATAGTGGAAATTGACACCATGGAGTTAATTTCAATTTTGAACAGACACATTGGCATTCTGTGTAATCATCATCATATAGATAGTAGCATTTGAGTCACAGTTCTCTGTTAACATTCTTAGGGGTTCAGTTTTACAGGGTACAGATTGGGTTACAATCACCAGAGGTGTGTACGACTAAACGTGTGGTATTGAGAAGATTTAATGATTTTTGAAGCTATTTACGGAAGTAAGTCCTCAAGTTGGTTTAGTTGCAACAAGAACTCCATATTAGTAAAATTGTAATGTTAGGTAACTGAAGCTTGACATGACTGCTTGAGCATAACTATGGACACAGATGATATTCATTCTGATTAAAATATATTATTGAATAATGACTTCTGTCTACAGCTAAAAGCAGCATTTCCGAAGAAAAGTCTTCCCCTGCTCCACCAAGGGGTTGTTGCGTATGAAAGCAGGGTTTTGCTGGAAGAGGTAGGTAATAGGTTTTCCTTTAATGTTTTTAATAGAAATAGTGTAGATTTCTCTTATTATCTGGAAAATGTGGCATAAATCAATTTCAGCTCTCTTTTTTCTTCTCTTGATGATCAGTACTAGCCTTTTTGGTTCCCTATAGTTGCTAATAAAAGTGGTCCTTAATAGCTAACTTAGAACTCCTTAGATCATTGTGGCATGTAACTTTGTTTTTATGGACATTTTCACGGCATTACTTTGTCCTAGAACCAGTTTGCGCAAATTGTGACATCTCTTGTTAGGCTATATTGATTGAAGCATGTCAAAGTTACCTCTGTACTTGATAGGGATAATTTGAAACGCAAACCCATAAAGGTCTTTTCTTTCATTTGTCTGATATAACTTGAAAAATCATGAAGTTTGGAATCATTTGAGTTTCAAAAATGAAACTTTTTCTTGGGCATTATAGAAACTGAAGCAGTTGATTTATGAAGTTGCAACAATAGCAATTAATTGTTAATGTGACGTGAATTTGTCCTCAAAAGTCTTAGCTTTGTTGCAGAGAAGGTGTTCATTGGAGGAGTGGATGACAAGCTGTTATCTGACATTGATTTGTCGAGAAGTGTCACAGTGGCTTCCTTTCTTGAACTAGAAGGTGCTGCGAGATCTGGTATGCATAATTCTACTTCATTAAGATGTAGTTATCTTCTGTAATTTTCCAGTAAAAGTTGATATGATAGAATCTAAGTAATAGTGGATGTCATTAGAGGATATGTATTTATCCATGATCGATATTATTTTATCATTACCTTGGATTTTTACATTTTATATATTCTTTTCAGCATTCCAAGAGGAAAATGAATGCTCCCCAGAACCGAATGCTGGACATAGTACAGTTTTATCAAATGGCGCTCCTCCCAGTTCAAACACTCATGTTGCTGGTCATCAATAACATCAGATTATGGTAGTGATACTGCTTATGAGACATCTGAGCTTGGGTCACCTAGGTTAGGGAGAGATGACAGCTCTGACATTGGTTTCGGAGATCTGACTT